AAAAAAGTATTTTAACTCGTCTTTGTAAGAACTGGAAAAATAATGTACTATATATTTGGAGGGATAATGTAATTTATATTTTACAACTTCCAAATTCTATTAACTTAGATTTTTTTATGTATGTTCTTCCATATATATATATATATATACAAATATATATATAATTTTAATTTTAATAAATATATCTTTAAGAAAGTACGATATATTTAAAATTTTATTACTTAAGATTTCACGAAATTTTTAAATGAAATGATGTGAAAATTACTTAATTTTTATTTGTAATAGAGAATTGTGTTTACAATATTCATGTGAAATGAAACAAAAAAAAAACCGAAAATGGCAAAATAAAGTTTTTGAAATAGCAGAAAAATAATGGATCTGAAATAATTTTAATATACCATTGTGATATTGTACAATGAGCAAGTAGTAATTTGATTAGTAAGAATAATTTAAAATGGATCGTAAAAAATAGTAAAAACAAATTTTCGAAATTCTATAACAATTTATTTTTAATTTCATTTTTAAAAAATTATAGTTATTAAAAACATTCTTGAATTTAAATCAGAATTAATTCTATAACATTTCCACACATCAGAAAAAATATCACATTAACAAATTTCCATTAAGACATTATTAATCTTATTACTTTTTTTGAAAAAATTAGTAACACGTGACTAGCTTTTCTTTACTTGTTTGTTATCATAATATGTAATGTTATTGTGTCATTTGCTTAATTGGAGGACATTTTATTCGGCATTAATTACTATTTTATATATTGTATAATTTCACGAATCAATATCGATATTTGTCACATTTGTTTCTTCAATATCACTAGTTGTTGCCATGTTTGTCTCTTCAATATCAATGGTTCTAATACTTCTTTCTTCAGGTTCTGCAGGTATCGTTATACCACCAGTATCTATGCTTTCTTCTTCTTCTCTAGGAATTTTTAAGAAACAATGCATTGTCTCGTCATCCTCTTGCTCAATAGAATCATTTTTGTTTAAACTTTCTCTTGTTGATAATGAACCTTGAAGATGTTTCGATGGTATTTGTATCGTGATTGTTTGGGAAGTGCCATCAGCAGACGTTGAGGAAGACATCAAATTAGCTTCTAATGTATCTCCATCTTTCGAAAAGGCGCCTAAACAACTATAAACTAATTGCGCTGCCGCAATGTTACCAGGAAAGACTTCGACATTCTCGTTATCTGTGTGTAAAAAAAGTAGTAAAGAAATTTATAAAAATATCTACTAAATAAGAATTGCAAGCAGTTCAACAAATCTTAATGTTACCTTTTTTCTGCACATTAGATTTTATTAAACCTTTTTCATGGTCACCTAAGTGCTGGATGTAACTTTCATTTTTCACCGTTTTAAAAGGACACAGATCGCATGTAAATAAGCCAGACAGCAAAGGATGCCTCGATTTTAAATGATTTTTATAACTGCTGCTCTGTATCGCGCTATATGAGCAATGTGGACATTTATACGGTCGGAATCCTATAGGAAGAAATTAAATTAATCCATAATAATTAATTTTGGATGTAATAACTCACCTGTGTGTTGCATAATATGCCGTCGTAAGGTATTGTGATCTCCAGTTTTGTAATCGCAGATCTCACAGCTGAAAGGTTTATCTCCTGTATGTTGACGCAAATGCATTTGTAACATTGCCTTTCTGGCACTAGCATGACCGCAAACGTTACAAACATACGGACGTAACTTGGAATGAACCGCTTGAATGTGGTTCTTTAAACATTTTGAATTCGCATACGTTTTACCGCACATGTCGCACGTCTTAGAAGTATACCATCGAGTTACTTCTAATGTTTTGCGATCTAAATGCATTATACGATGATTACGTAACTGGCTAGCTTGTTTGAAACATTTCTCGCAATCGGGACATTTGTAATCACGAGTGTCACTGTGTACTCTCATGTGCGTCAAGAGTTTTACCATGGTAGCACTTTTGTAGACTTTACAAATTTTGCAAGTAAACAAGCCTATGTCTATGTAAAAGAGAATACATAAAAATGTGAATTGTTTTAACGCTTCTTATATTATTTATCTTATATATTTACAAACCAATTTGGTGCTTCTTCCATAAATGCAAGTTACATTGGCGCCACTTCGTAAACTTCACATCTCGACATATGGTGCATTTAAATGTTGTTGCAGTTTCAGATTCTGTATGGTAAAGAATATGTTGCTGCATAATTTCTTCCGAGACGAATTTGTACTGGCAGCCCTGATACGTACACCTTGCGAAAATGATATATTTAAATATGACAAATAAAAGATTTCTTCTATATAATACATATTTTTTAGAAAATTACATACTTCACATTTCTTTCCGCTGACTCTATCATTTTCCTATTACGCATATATTCTGAATTTAAGGTCTTCGAAATTTTTACTGGATCTTTTTCTGCTTCATTGCTTTCGATATGTTGAGCCTCATGTTCAGTTACCAAGCCAGGATTCGCTAGATCTGTCAAATTTTCTTTTCCAGCCTCATCACTCGCAATGTCTGTTAATTGATGATCCTAAAAGAAATTTCTATCATATCGTCCAGATAAAAGTAGCCTACCTTTCAAAAATTAAAATTTAAGATGATTACATTAATCATGTGTTCTTTACAGTCCTCAAAAGAATGGAAGCAGATGGAACACTCCGCACACATATAAACTATTTTTACTTCATCCATTTTAGATTCTTCCTTTGGCTATATATAATAATAAAAGTAAGCCAATTTTTATATTGCATTATAAGCTTCTGCTAAGCAAAATACAGTTACTTTGATTAAAATTGTGTGAACTACAGTTGGCGTCTAGACATCTACTTACTGTAATATCTATAGCAGAATTTAAATGTAGTTTCTGAATGTGATCTAATAATTGCATCTTGTCTTGAGATAGGTAAGTACACATCTTGCATTTAAAAGCAGTCACAACTTCTAAGAAATCATCGACGTTAACGTTGTCATCTTGCGCAACAAGATCTTTCACTACTTCCTCTGTAGCGACTTCGTATTGCTCCTCAGATTGTCTGTATGGACTTTCGATTACTACATTTTCATTCTTGATATAACCATTTTCATTATTTTCCGTATTCTTTGACATCGAGAGTGCCTTTTCGTTACAACTCATTTGTTCTACAGGTTGCAAGTTGGTACTCACTTCTTCAATCACTCCATTTTTAATCGCATATACCTGTCCATTCAAACACACTAACGAAATCGGTTCTTCTCCACTGTCCAACTCACTTCCCTTAACAATGTCAACTGTAGTTTGTTCTTCACTCACTGCTGAATTCTTCATAATGTCCATTGGTGATAGTGCAAGTTTATAAATGTACCTTGTGCCATTTATGTCATAGCTTAAGTAGGACATGTCATTCATTTCTTCACTCATTGCTGATGAAGAGTCGTAGAATAATCTGATTGAATGTCAACACAAACGTTCCAACATATTTACACAATTAACTTAACTAGAATGTTACTCGTAACACAATTTCAATCCATTGAATCACTTCGGCTAAAATCTGTTGTAATATCCTTTCTTTTGTTCTTAAAAAAAAATTCCAATTTTATGTTACATCTTATATAAACTCTGTTATATAAATAGATTAATATTATGAGTTCCGATTTAGAGTTTAAACAGTTCTTATCAAAACGGTGAATGCGATAAATTACACGGGTTTGTTTCAGTATTCGCTAATTATATCCATCGCGAAATACGCGTAAACACCCAAATGTATGTACATATATGTGCAACATCAATGCGGAACGATGAGGTTATCTCTGCGAACTCTAAGCACTATCCGAGACACTTCTCCGTCTCCGCGGAGACAAATCGGGCACCACGTGCGATGAAGTTGAAGCGAAGAGAACGAGGAGATGCATTCGCGAAGATATTCGAATTCTATTCGAATTCAAAATCGTGTCTCGCATAACACCTCGCATACGGCGTCTGGTTCGAGATTTCCGACTACGGCGATTATGCTGGCGCGCGGGAAGTGACAAGAAACGCCGGTGAAGCGACGCGCGAAAATTAGCGAAAACACGAGTTCGGTAGCGAGACGTTCTGCCTGGGATGCGTTCCAAAACTCGACTCTATCAACTCCGAGTATCTTTTATCCTTGTTCAACATTCAGTGAAGAACAAGGATAAAAGATACTCGGAGTTGATAGAGTCGAGTTTTGGAACACACCCTTGGAGCGGAAGTTGCCTTAGGCCGGTATTCATAGTCGATTCTTATTTCAAGACCGTCTTAAGTAATGTTCTTGACTATGAATACCGGCCTTAAATAAGAATAAGATAATACAGGTGCATCATGCGTGAAACGCATTCTCAAACACTTGTAATGGCGCAGTCCCACAGTGCGGAACGTATACGCAATGCGGAATTGGCGGAACGATGTCCGTCCAATCGCAAACATTCCGTCAATTGCGGTCCGCCGATATGTCTTTTCTAAACCAATCACGAGCGTTCCGCCAATTCCTCATTGCGCCAATTCCGCATCATGAGACCGCACCATAATAAACGTCAATTTGGATACGCAATTTGCAATCACAGATTTTCCTGTCATGGATATGTACGTTAAAAAAAAACTCTATAGTTTACGTGACGTGAAATATAGATTTTCAGCGCTGGTAGTAAATTTGAAACACAGTAAACGTTTTGGAACGCACTTCCTCGATTGTGGAATGCGCCAAATTTCGATGTAGAATTATCGTAAAATTAAAAATATTAATTATTGATTGGGTTCTCACATATTACGGTCTAAAATAAGATTCTTATTGGTTAAAAATATTAATGTTTTAAAATTAAACATACATATATTAATTAACAGCTTAAGTCTGTTTAATAACATGATATTTGTATATATTGTACATTTTGAACAGTTTATACAATAACAATATAATAATTTTCTATATGCATATATTATATGTATAATTACAGAGATAATAAAATTATAATTACAATTTCTTAGAATAAAAAAAATATAAAAATGATATATTTTAAGGACTTGCTATATTTTGTCTAGAATGTTTCGGAGTTCTCTCTGCATTTTGTCTAGCAATTTCAGGAAAGAATTGCGAGTTATATTTTTGTTTTATAGCAGGTTTAGGAGTTTCTGGTGCTACAACAGGCATAGGTTCACCTCTCACTTTGGCCAACAGTGCTTCAGTTCTTAGTTTTTCACTTTGCTCTCTGAGTAATCTCTCTGCTCTTAATTTTTCTATATTTGTACTACTCTGACTTCCATCTTCTTTCTTCTCTGAATGTTTATATTTTTTGTGTTTTTTATCTTTTTTATATCTTTTGTGTATACTGTGCCTTTCATGATCAGAATGAGAACTATCAGAATCACGATGCTTTCTTTTAATGCTCTCCGTTTTTACTTTTAAATGATCTTCAGGTTTAGAATGCATAATCTTGAGATATTTCTTTATATCAATCATTGGATCGTTTAAGGTTTTCTTCTTTATTTCTATCTCTATGTCTTTCTCTGTATCCGTTAATCTCTTTGGTAATTCTTCGTACCAATTTTTTTTCCCAGTTGCTTCGTTAGTATCTTGTCCTAGATACGTCAAATATCCAATCTGCTTTTCATATTTCTCTTTCTCTTCCTTCTTTTCCTTCTCATGTTCTGCATTAGGTCTACTGTAATCAATTTTTCCATCTTCAAGCTCAGCAAAAAAGTTGACGTGCTCTAACTTCTTACTAGTAGAACCTTCGGTTGTTGACCGACCATCGTACGTAGATCTCGCTCGATGTCTTAATAAATCTACTCTTGCTTCTGTTTCCTAATGATAAATAAAAGAACTTAATGTAAAAATTAAGCATATACCTAAAAACGTCAAGAAATAATTTTTATAGTAAAATACGAAATCTACATGATCGAAACTTTCATAAACAATTTATCACGTACTGCTTTCTGAATTCGTTCTTTTTTAATCCTCTCTTCTTCCGCAGCTTTTGCTTCGTCTTTCCGTACACGAGCGATATTCTCCTTCGTTCGTACATGCCATCTGAATGAACATAAAACAAACGATCAGTTTCAAGATATATACAAATTGAATGCATCGTCTTACCTTTTCTTTGGTAAAATATTCATTGTCAGCAAACCTCTTGGTATAACAAAATCAGATTGTCAGGCTAATTGCGCCGATTGCTTCGGATGATCCAATAAATGGATTTAACGATTGTAAACAAATTTTCACAAATGCATTAAACCAAGAGCTGCGACAAGATCTCCCTGTGATTTTCTGATTGGATACAATTTCTGGACATGTAAATAAAATTTTATCTCTTGCAGTTGGCAGCTCGTGAGAGAAGGTATTGCAATTTGCGGCTTGCGCCTTGTGCCAAAGACATATTCAGATCACTGTAATCGACATCGAGCACACTGTGCGCGAAAAATTTTTTTGTTTACATTTCTGTTAAAGAGTAAGTGTATATGCATTTTTATATTTCTTGTTTGTGACATAATTTGTGTTTTCATTGAAATTTGCCACGAAAAGTGCTATTACTTGATTCTTGCATACGATGTATGCGTTTACTTTGACCTAACCTAACCGGCATAGAAGATATTATTCATGTTTGATTTAACACGACAGTCAAAGAAAATTAAAATCATGGAATTGTGGAAAGAAAATTGAGAAAATTGTGTAGTTTAAAGTATGAAACGGAGAAAGTATAGAAGGTGTTATAAGTAAAGTTGAAGGCACTCGTTGCTCATCAATCAGTAGAAACTACTAAAAAAAACGACGCTATTCACATATAAATGTTGATATTTTAATATATTTCTGAAAGATTGTGTTACACATACACATACACATACACATACACAAGTACCTTATTTTTACGAATAACAAAATAACATGTATTTAATACATTTTTTAAATACAGATTACAGATTTTACATCATGGCTGCGACAATGCCAATAAATCCCAAACCATTCCTAAATGGTTTGACGGGGAAGCCAGTCATGGTGAAGTTAAAATGGGGCCACGAATATAAAGGTTATCTCGTCTCGGTTGATGGATACATGAATTTGCAGCTCGCAAATACTGAAGAACACATAGAGGGTAATTGTACTGGAAACCTCGGAGAAGTGCTAATCAGGTGTAATAATGTTATGTACATAAGAGGAGTAGAAGAATCAGACGAAGAGGGCGAGATGAAGGATTGAAGTGACGAAAATCTAAAACTTTAATTTTTATTATAACCCCTTTTGTATTATTAAGAACTAATTTAATTTAACTAATAAAATAAAATCATTTTATTTCTTATGAAGTTGTATACATGTGTGTAAATGCAAATAGTATTACAAACCTGTCTTAACATGGTTTTGGTACATTAGTTACTATAGGCTTCGGCCTTGATTTAAACAAGAGTTTCTTTCTCACAATAGCTTTCACAAAGTACTCTGTTTTTGTCGTAGTTTCCTCTCCCATCGTCTCATCTCCTGTATCACGATGTTTCTCCAATACAAGCAGTGGTTTATCAAGTGTTACCTCTTTTCCATGTAACACATGAATTCCAATGATTAAAATAGGTACTCCAGTTTTTGTGAAGTGAAGATCGCCGATTAATTGATCGCCTGAATTATCGATAGTTTCAAATTTTAAATCTCCTTGGAGATCTATAATCGCCCAAGTGTCTATGTTTCCGTCTCTAAAAAGAAATCACTAAAATTTATTTGATATTCAAAAAAGTTTAATCGATTTTTACGATAAATAAAATATTATTGGCGTAAAAGAAATTATTGTTTACCTTTTGATCGGCACGATCATCTTTGTTAGGTTAGGCACTAAAAATGGCGCTAAAAATTACGTTTGTAAATCTAAGGGCGCGTTTACACCTTGACGGATAAGCAGAAAGCGCAAAAGCAGTGGCCAATTACAACTCACGCTCAAAGTCTGTTTTCTGTGGCTGAACTAATGTAATACACTTTCGGAACTTAGGGACTGCGTAGAATAAAAGGAACAGAGAACCGAGAATAAAATTTCAACCTATCAGAAACTGTATTGTCTAATTCACACTGAATCCTAGACTTCACTAGAACTCTCTTTCACGCTTTCGATAAATATTAAACATATTCTACCTCACTTTAAGGGGCTTTAAGCAGAATTCTAGTGAAAAGTCTAGAATAGGAACAGAAAACAGATTTTTCACAGAGTGGAACGTAAGTATTCCCTAGGAGCTAGTAAGAAGTTTCCGAACGCAGCCTGGGACGTGGAAAGACTGTGAGATTGCCTTCGTCATTTTTACGCATTTGAAAATTTAAATTTTGAGTGCGAAAACGTTGCAATCTTTCTGTAATTAAATGTACATTTTTTTCTAATTGTATTATTTTTATATATCTATATTTTTGTATCTGTAAAAAATCCATAGAAAAAATATGATTGAATAATTATGATTGGTGATTACATATATAATAGCACTTTTTATATTAATATTCAGATATTTAAATAAAATATGTTATTTTAAAGAATAATTAAAAGATATTAATAATATAACAAATAAAATACAATATAAATATATACAGGATGTCCCATTTTAAATAATGCATTAAGATTTCTCGAAAACTATGGTAGATACGGAAAAACAAACTTTTGTTTCAAACAAAAGTTGTATGGTTCGGAGGGGGACATAAGAAGGTATCATTGATTTGACTAGATTCGACCTTGGGTGACGTCGCCAAGGCTAGATCAAGGTCACGTTAATTTTTTTTAAATGGAACCCCCTATTTTTCATTACATTTTCTTGTAGCTTACCTCGAGAACCATATTAGCCCCCTTAATAATCCTTCAATTTATATAAATTATAAATGTCAAAATCTATAAAATAAAATTTCCGACAAATAATTTTGAATGATTTTATCGGATTTGTAGTATTGGTATCATAATAGCAAATTAATTTTAATTAAAATAAAGAGACTTTACACACAGAATATATTAATTTACATTATGCAAGAAATTTGTGAAAATACTTGACGGATACAGGAATAAATGTATGTAGGCATGTACAGGAAAATTTAATCATATAAATAAATTGTACTTCAATTTGATGTCACGCATATTTGTATTTTTATTTTATTTTCGATTCTCTTCTCTTCACACTGAAGTAAGTACATCGGACGTAAATCACAGCACATCTCCGTTTGAATAAACATTCATGCATCGTCTCTGTAATTATAGTTGGTACACGTAAAAGTACAAATAAATGTTCGTAGGTGCGCTTGTTATCGAGAATTACTATCGACGTGACACTATCGTGTAATCCTTCCCGAGATTCGTATAGTTAATAATAAAATTTGTGCCTGCGATCACATATAGCGCTTTACAGATACACTTATTGTTTTCATTTTGTGCACAGGTCTTAAATTAAATTCGCCAAATCTCGCACGATTTGAAACGTGAAAATGATACAAAAAATATAAATCTCGAAGGGAGATTCATAGTCTCTCATATTCATAGTCGTGATTCAACTTGAGATCCAATTTGAGCTAACAATAAGTTTGAATCAGTCTTTCATTTGAAAAACGCTTTTCAAATCACGATTTAATAAATCTGATTGGTTCAATCTTTAGTTCAAACCTAGCTCGCCTGAAATAAGAATCAATCGTGGATCGATCTACGACTATGAATACGGATCAAAATGATCTATGACATGAGAAATGAATGAGACTTGTCGCAGGAGGCGATTTGTACGAAATGAGATTCGGTGTTCGATCGAGATTCTTTGCGCGATCTGACGATAAAGTCGATATTGGAGTTTACGATTATCGTGAATATTTCACAAATAAGTCTCTCCTTCAGGAGCGAGCTTTGTACATGTATGCAGATGTACAGTAATCTTATACATAGCCAGAGCTTTGATTATCTATTCTATGTGATTAATCGAGAATTAGGCGATAAGTTTGGGAAAAATGCGCTAAGGCAATATCGTTCGCAAAATTATGCGTGCTTACATCCGTTTGCGTAAAATGTACATGTGCATACATACATATAAATATATTTATAATATGTACAAAAATCTATTATATATATATATATAATATCTCCTAGAAATAGTACAAAATATTTGAGGAAGATAACTGCGCGGTGATGATTAGAAATAGGAAAGTGATACTTTCATTCATGTTATTCTAAATTTTATTATGCCTCTTATTTGTGCTACACTCTAGAAACCTTTAACTCTTCGTACGAAACGTATATTCTTAGATGAGAAGTGGGAAATTTTTATTAAGGAGAAGATGGAAAAGTTCTATGTGTAATTGTGCTTTTTATGGTTCGTTTCCTGTTCGTAAAAAGCATTGGCCTCTAACATTAGTAGCATATATACCTTATTTGTAAATTTTCTAATTCCGGATTGTATATTATCTACGTTTAAGAGAAATAGAATATTAATATATTTTTCCTATTGATGGTATTAAAAAAATGCATAATTCTTAAATAATATATCCATTACGTAAAAATTTTTTGAAATAAAAAATTTATAATAGGATGCTGTTTTTAAAACAATTTAATCTTAATAAACATATTTTAATTTGTTCCGATGAAAGATTAGAGAGTTACAAATTTAGTTAAAATCTTTGTGAAACAGATTATTATTGAGATTTCGATGCATTAATTCAAAACACAAATCATAGATTATGAATATATTGAGCCTTAATTTTTTTCTTTTTAAATTGTTAAGATATGAGAAAAGGCTGATTATGGATTCAACGAATTACTTTAGCGGACGGATAGATTTTATGAAAGCGAGAAGAAGTTCCTATAGTTTATTAGTATGATAGATCTACATATCAATTCTTTTATTACGACATTTTCGTGAAAATCACCTAGAAAAGCATAATAATAACAATAGTATTATTTATGCTGCCTCTACTAAAAGCTAATAATAACAGTAGTTAGCTAAATAGTAATGTACGTGCTTTTTATTTCTCTCTGGTCATATATATCGATGAGTCTCTATAATATAGAGTTTGATTATTCAAGAATTAGAAATTTTTGAAGATAAAGTTTTGAAAAAATGTTTAAATATTTTTGTAAAATGCATTAATATCATGAGGTAACGAGAATGAACGAATGCATTATATAATCTTCTATAATATATCTCCGGATCACTAACATGTTCCATTTGGATGGAATTTTCTCTATATCAGTGTAGAATTTAAATGACTAATGAGAGGAAGAATAATGATATTGGTGAAAAGGATTATTAGTATTATGTTTAAGATAATGTAGTAATTATGGCATGTAAAATTTCGTTGATTTTGTGAAAACCTGTGTATATACAATAACGTCTACATCGATGTATATCATAATATCACTTCGCGAACAATCAACAGCGTTATTTTAGAAGATAATGCAAATGACTTAGTAATTAATAACTTTACACGTCAATTCGTCCCGATGATTGAAAACTATTATTTATAAAGATTATATTCACAATTAGGTAATTATGCAGTATGCCTTTGCGGGGGGGGGGGGTGATGAAAGTCGGGAGTGAGAGTCGCTTCGTGTTGAAAGTCAAAACCTATGTAGAATAGTATTTAATATTGCATGTATAATATAGAAATAATACATTATTTTTCAAACTTTTTTGTTAATAATTTCTTAATGAAGGACGACTGCGGACTAAAACCTTTTGAAGGTCACTCGGAGTCATGACTTTGATCACATATGTCAAGGTCAAGGTCATCGGAGAGTGCTCTCCTATATTGCATAATTATCCACAATTATTATAAATGATTGTTTTCAATTGGAACGAATGTTTTTAATATTTACAAGATGAAAATTTTGCGTTCGCTTATTTTATATACACGAGAAGTTTTAAAATATATAAATCATACAATTGCAATATTAAAAAATGCAATTAAAATACGTATTTTTATTTTGTATAACAACTTATAGTTTTTTACGATTGATAGTTACGTCCGCAAATTTTTAATATTGTACAATTCTTATAATACACATTTGTTTTATATATACACAATTTAATTATTGTACATACATAATTGTAAACGTAATTTACTCTTAATTCGCCTTAACACTTTATCGTTTCGTAGGATCTTTTCAGAATTTTCGTAAGGTATGTTACATCGTAATGACATAACAATTACTTGTCAATTAATTTCTAAACTACTATTTGTGAATTCGATTGAATATACTAATGCGCACTGGTGCATAGTAAATACTTTCGTGTACTGAATAAAAACATATGCACATAATCAAATAAATCAGTGAGATTGCTTAATGCAGATTTCAAATATATATTTGTGATATATGTATATTAAACAATTTATGATAAAGCTTCATATATCCACACACATCCTCTATTAAATTTTCATTAATCAAGATTATATTTTTACATTTAATAGCATTTATAATTTGCACCAGTGTGCAAAAGTTATGATTTGTATAATTCGGCCGAGCATGAGAGATAAACAGTTGAATTAGTATTAAAATCAAGTAAAGTGATAAGGTAATCAACAATAATCCATTTATATTTCTCAAGATGTAACTCTCCAATTACACTAACAATCCAACAAAGAGTTAATCAAAATAGTATATACGCACATGTAAGCGCCATAAATGCTTTAACAATTACTGGATACATTTTCCAGAAACACTTTTGGAAAGAGCATGTAAAATACTAAACGTTTAATGTCATTTTGATCGTTTATCATATCTAAATAAAACGTCTTTTTAATTATAAAACCCTTATAAAATCTTTGTGAAATGCATCACTTCTCAGGATACTAGCTAAAGACTGAAAGATATTCATCTAGTGATTATTAAGGAAATTTATGACGCTTAGTATATTCTCTTTATCTTTTAT